ATTTGGCTCTAGTTAACGTTAACAATAACCTGACATCCAGTTTAAAATGCTTTAAATTTTGAAGTGGAAAAAATTGATGGACCATTACACCATGTTTGTTTTGAAGTTAATACTTGCGGCATTTCCAATGTGTTTGAATGTTTGTGTGGATTTTTAAAATGTAGATGCCATTTCCTCAAATGTCAACAGAGAAATGCTATTCTGGGTGCAACTATTTTCCTTCCCATCATCGTTATTAATTTTTCAAGTTCATTAACAGCTTAAATTAAACTGAGCTCTACTGACATCTGCTGGACAAAATCTGTTTTTCATTATATTACCAACTAGTAATGCTCAGGTTTTGCTAACTTGATGGTTACTATTAATTAAACCAATCAAGCGGAGCTACACTTAATAGGAAAGAGAACCAAGCTAAACATAAGACCATTAATCAGCATGTAAAAAACCTAAGTAAAGGTTTCTATGTTCATTGCTGTAGCTGCAAGAACCATATTTCAGTTTGGTGGTTTAACACACATTTGCTGATTAAATACGAGGGCACGTCTGCAGCCATACAGCCAGCCAGAGCCAGCAGTCTGGATTGTACCGGCAAGAGTGTTCATGTTAGTTCTTGAATGTTGAACCTTGAGGGATCAGCGTGAACCATCAACCTTCACAATGAGCCACACTATTATTTTGGGGGTGACAAATGCTTTTCTTAATATCCTAGCTCCATCAGAGAAATTAGGCAACCGTGACACTTCTTTATAAATGAATTTATCAAGAATCTTGCCTTCCCTGCATAATGACTATGTACCTCACAAATGCTTTCTCTAATACTTATTTGTAGAGTGATAGAACATTAGCCGCAGAGTTAATGTCACCATGGTTGTAATTTGCATGTGGATGAAAGTTAACATAATGTAGAAATGTGAAATTAAACCGGCTGACTATGAGCACCGGCCCTGCTAAGACCCATTTCTCTGTTCTCATTATTTCACCTCTAGGTTTATTGTGTTTGCTGCTTTCTCCCACTGCTCACTAAATTGTCAAATAAGTCCCCAAGGATGCCCCAGCACGGGCCTTCTGGAAAACTGTTTCAATACTTTACATGATGCCAACGAAGTCCAAGTGTTCTCCACTGTGAAAAAGCCACAGTTCTCTCCCTTTGTTCACTGCCCGCCAGCTTTAGAAGGAAGAGGGTGAGTCTGGATGAGAGAGCAAGTTACCAGGGGACTGACTCTCAGGCTTTTCTCAGAATTCATGAGACTTTTAATAACACTGACTCCACAGTGGGAAGTATCTAGGGAAAAAGAAATGACACAACTATTATTATTCTCTTCACAGTGTATGAGGGGAAGGAGGGAGGCAAAGGTCTTTCAAATGCAAAGTTAGGGAAAAAAGAAATCAAACTACCATTGGTAAGGCGCAGGAGACAAATTACTTCTTTAAGTTTTTTTTGTTCATGAAATTACAACTGTGGGGCAACTTAATGTGCTAGTCATTATTTTTCTGCTGGTAGGGAGATGAGCCAGGGGGGGTGAACCAGAGAGCAGGGCTAGCTGGCTCTCCAGCTGCAGAGCACCAGTGGGATGCCCCGAGCATCGCCTGTGGCCTCGGTGGCCTCCGCGAGGCGCCGTCCTCCCCGTGCCCCACTGCCCGCATCTAGAGATGGGATACGGCCATCTGTGCTGTCACTCAGCAAAGAAGGGAAATAAAAATGTGCACTTGTCCTTAGTGTTAAGAGTCGTGCAGACAACAGACCAGGGGTATGAAGGGCATTTTAATCATATGCACCGACGACAAAATCTAATTCAGGGATGAAAATAAGCATTTTGTAACCTGGCAGGTCTCTGCTGTGTCAAGTGACACTACATAGCTGTGTCATGCAAATAAGTGGTACGGGTCATGCCAAGTGATTCGGCAGAAACCCTTTCCTTTCCAACGTCTGCAAAGACATTTTCTAATTATGCCTCATTTAATCTCCTCTATTCCAGGCTCCTTTCAGAACTGGTCAGCAGGGAAATCAATTTCTAGAATTAGGCATTTAGCTATTAGCCACAGGGTGGGTTCTCATATGTATAATATGCCCTCTGCTTGAAGTCTAGTAGATTCCTCCTAATTCTGTAATGATCAGACTTAAAAATATTTTCCTCTAATGCATCTCTGTTTCCAGAAAGTACTGCAAATCTTGAATAAAAAGTCAGGAGCAAACCCTAGGGAATGAGTGTACAGAGAACAAGTCATCATTTCCCACTGAAAGACAATATTCTGAAGTTTAAACCAAAGAAAGCACATGACAACATACAGTCCCAATAAAACTTTATTGAGAACCAGTTAGTCGAATCCTTTACAGAATGTAGAAATACATATGATCCCAGCTCTTCCCAATAAATGGCAACAAAGCATTGGGGTGGGTCCCCTGAATATCCCAAACACGTAGTTCTATACCCATAGGGGAGAAACAGTTCTTCAGCTTAGTGATACAGCAATTGGGGGGGGAGGGGGGTGCTTTGACCTATTTAGGGGAAGCAGAAGTGGAATCAGTGCAGTATGAGTAATGGAGGGCTACAGGTGAGTTCTAGTAGCCAAAGGAGTGGATGAACAAATGTTCACTCTTCACATGTATTTCAAAGTCAGCTAGTAGGAGGAGGGCGTCATAAGTCCAGACACAAATGAACCTGAAGGCATGGGAGCTGAGGATCTCTGTCCATTCAGTTACACAGGGAAGTGGTCTCAAGGAGAGAAATAGCCTTGGATCCACTTTTATCTAACACTCTATCTACCATGAAGGCTTTTGATGCCAAATAATCGGAACTGACATCATGGATGAAAAGGGAGCCAAATGACTCTAAGGATTAAAGACAGAAAACCGGGGTGAGACCAAAGCCCAATGGGCTTGAGAAAACAGTTTTGATAATGTTAATGTTTTTCCATGAAGAAAAGTTAACTACTGCAATTTTCATCACTACAAACAAACACAGGACAGGATAAATGAACACTGCGCACAAGCTCTCAAGGTTTTACTACCCAGTCTTTTCATGGAGATGAGAGACATTATTGAGTTTTCTGGGAGGCAAATTTTGGGAAGGCTTTTTTTTTTTTTTAACCCAAAAGAAAAAAAAATATGAGGGAAAAATGATATAACAGAAATACAACTGCAATTATGCCTCTTCCTTTGAAAACTATCAAAACTAGTGTAAAAGTTTCTTTCAGTTTCTTCCATGGTCCTAGTTTATAGCCTTGCCTAAGTTTAAAATCCTATCAAACTTTCTTAGCTTTTAAGCATAAAAAACAACAACGACACAAATATAAAATTCTTCCAGTTTTATAAGTCCTAAAAAGCAAAAAAAAAAAAAAAAAAGGAACCTGAATTGTGTTTATATCAATGAATTTGGTAATGGATGGCAGGAGCCAAACTGGAATTCAAATAGTAACAAGAATCTTACTCAAAATGCTCTTCTCCCTGCCTTGAAGTCTCCCTGGGGTGAAATCAATCAGGATGTTTGGGGAAGCACTGTGATCACGTCTCTGGCTAAGAGGAAATATGTTTTGTTCTTTTTCCCCCAGTTAGTAACCGTAACTGCTAAAAGTACACGCTCGGTATAGTAAGACACTTAACTAAACCAAGTGGGTTTTATTTTTTCCAGTTGGACACCCAGCCAAAGGCAAATTAGCTTTCCTGTGAATGCTGACACCACTGATCGAAAGGTTCATGGGAAGGCAGAGCTAGCACACAGCTCTCAGCAGCAAGTCAGAAACCCGAGAGGCACAAGGTTGTCCCCGACTAGCACAAGTCATAGAGGACAAGCGAATTCTAGGATCTGGGCAGTGGGCTCTTGTTTTAGATGCTGTTGTCAGTAGTCTTTAAAGGGTCAGACAAGTTTCAATAATATTAGCTATTCTGGTGCTAAGTGGGAAATAATAGGGGGACTGCTACCCACAGGAACCAACACACACTCAGTGGGGATTCGGTTCAGAGTTCCAGTAAAAAGTAACATGTTTTTATGACCAAGAGAGCTGTGAGATAGGCACATTTAAAATTCTTAGACCCTGTTTCTTTAAAGCTGCAAAATGTTTTAAAATCAGTCAAAACACAGAACAAACAAAACAAGCCTGGGAAAGGCAGCGAGGGAAGGAGGAGTAGAAGCTGATGAGTCAAAACGTGTACAGGTTTGAAGCACCAGGGATTCTATATCTGCTATATAAATACCTGATTCTCAGGACTCAGAAATTGATGAATGTTAAGCCTAACATATGCAAAATGGCAGGATGCATTTGTTTTAAGGATGATCACTGTATTCCTAACGAAAGCTTAGTGGTGTTTTTTTCAAGTTAATGGCTATATATGTAGCACCCCTCCCTCCTTTTAAACAGAAGTAGAGTGCTGTACTACTTAGTGAAAAGATCAAGGTCCAGATAGATTGGTAGGGAGGAAAACATGGCGTGCATCCAACAGCCCACACTAGAGCAAAGTCACTGCCAAGCAAGTAAAACACAAGTCAGAGTTCAGGAGGTCGATCGGACAGGGTGGACTCAAATCCTCAGCTACAACATAATCACAGCAGGAACACTGGTGTCCTGATCTTATACTAATTCTAGAGAACAAACAAATTTAAACAAATAGTTACAAAGTACACTAACTTATTTTAGAAAAAACAATAAATTCTTATTGTTAGCTTATCTAGAACTAGCCTTCAAATCAGAATTTTCACGACTACTAGAGGCTGCATGCTTTACTAACAAAAAGAGGCAAATTTCAAAGAATGTTTATCTCTAGTTTAAATAAATATTGTGAATCTAAAAAATGGTATTTAGGTCCCCAGACCAGTTTTCAATTCTTGCAATTTCTGTCCTAGAGTTACATTTTCGTCCCCTTTCATAATCAACCGCATAGAGAAAAGCAAAGTCAAAACTGTCCTGTTGGAGAAAAAAACACTGAGGAGCAGAGGTAGAGGGCNAGCATAGAGTTACATTTTCGTCCCCTTTCATAATCAACCGCATAGAGAAAAGCAAAACTGTCCTGTTGGAGAAAAAAACACTGAGGAGCAGAGGTAGAGGGCAATGTCCAACAATAATCATGCATTTACTTTTGTTTATCTACATTCCATTTCTTTTTAACATTTTTAGAATAGTAACAGTTATATTCATAAGCTTAAATAAGAGCAAGATTTCCTCCAATTTACAAAATATATATACACATATGCCCTCAAAATATTGTACATACCACCCAATTTCCTTTTTGAAAGAAAGTGAAGTTAAAAGATTTCTTGGATATTTTAAATAATAGTAAATGATAAAGAAAAGAAACTGAACCAAACACAAACTCAAAAAAATATCAACTAAATGAAGGACACGGTGTGACTGTTTCCTTGCAAAGCAACGACAGCACTTAGCTCAGGTCTGATATGCAGAAACGGCCATGCAGTGAGTTGCAGGGGGCAGGCTGTCCTTTTACAGCTCAAACGCAGGAAACCTGGCTTTCGAGGGCACCAAGAGGTCAGCCAGGAAATATATGGTTCCGGCCATTCCTGAAGGGAGAGAAAGGGGAAGAGTTAATGCACCAATGACTCCATTTTAGAGTGGCTTCATTTTGTAGCATCATCATTACGATCTTAATGCAATGATTTAAATGAAGTGGGCATCTGTCTATATTTATATTCCTTGCAGTTCACCATTAGAGGAGATCACCAGTGAGGTGTTCAGCCACTTCATCCAGGTGGAAGATGGCAGGGAGAGTGGAGCCAGACGAGTTCAAGGCACAGCCCTGCCATTTACCACGCGTGAGCACCACGGGTCACCTACCCGTCTGAGTCCCTATCTTCTCACCTGTGACATGAGGATAATGTCTGTAGGTTTTTGCTGAGGTGACTTATGACAGCATCTCCACAATGCCTAGCATGTGCCTGGCTCCAGAATGCTAGTCACCATTATGACTATTAGCATTAGGTCTGTGGTAGTGACATGCTAACTGATTTTTAATATTGAGTTGTTGTATAGGAAATAAGGAAGTAGTTTAAGACATGAATATAAAATTAATTTGTTGATAAAACTCCATTTAAATATATTAAGTACCAAGCAGAGCAGTGGACGCTGATATTACAAAGCAAGTAAGTCACGTGTGACAAATACCTTCAAAGAGGGAGAAGGGGGTGTCTGGTGTTCTGCATCCGTGTTCTCCGTAATCTAAGCACCACTCAGCAAACTGAAAACGAGACCAAGTTAAATTACTGCTGTGATTTCTTCCAGAGACCCCCGAAGTTGATAGAGGTTGTCCCTAAGAATTCTAAAACGTCAAGAACTATCTTCAAGGCAGAGAAAAGGGGTTAATGCAGAGAAATGGATCGGCTGAAAGAGAGTATGAAGAATGGGGGAATTTAACAAGCTGTCTGAGCCACACACAACTCCAAGGTTAGCAGAGAAGTAACGAAGGAGTAAAACCACCCTACATCTTTCTGTTCCTCCCATAAATGCTGTTGTAGAATTAGGTCCTTTTAAAATGAAGCTAATTCCATTGAATGGTTTGGGAGGTTTTTTAAAATAACTGTGTGTCCTACAGACATGGTTTAACAAATGAATGAATTAAATCAGATTAACAAGAAACCTTTCCACAGCCCCCAGGAGAGTGTGCTTTCCTTTTGGCCGTTCTGACTCCTACCTTGCAGGCCCTATACAGGTACTTCACATCCTGCGTGAGGTTGTACAGGGCCAGGAAGGCGTAGGCATTCCCCGCGGTGCCATGGCACAGCCCGTACCCCTTCTTCAGCAGCCCGTGCTGCCAGATCACATCAGCACACTGGCAGGCATCGCTGAGGTGCTGCTCCTCTCTGAACACCTGCGGAGTCAAGGCACGGAGTTTGTTTTAAAGGATAGGAAAGAAAATTTTATTGATATTCCTTCTTGATAGGAAAGGAGGGGAGGTGGAGGAAGGGAAGAGAGAGGGAAGAGGCTTGGCAAGAAAGGAGAAGGGATTTAGAGCCACAGAGATGTGTTACATCATTGGGGATAAGTTATAAAACTTCGCTAGCTTTATTTTTTTATAAATAACTGGGCATGACCTTGCTTGCCAGGTCTAAGTTTTGTGTGCGTGTGTGTGTGTGTACACATGTGGGTGGTGTTGGTGCAGTAGCATTATTTTACCTGAGACTTGCTGTTATTAGTCCCTTTCCAAAGAACATACACTATCTTCTTTGGTAATAATGATGCCCTTCACTCTAAGAAAGTTTCTTTATATGCCGAAGGAGAAACTGTGTATAAAATTGATTATAAAAACTGATTTGGTTTAAAACACTGTACTTTGTCAGAAACATAGAGATACACCTTTATAATCCTTTGTGGACTCCGATACCCTTGATCGAAGACTTGAGGAATATTCTGAGTAGACATTTTAAATATCTCATTGCAAACTAAGTGTCCTTAAAAATAGAGTAGGACCTTTTAAAAGATTTCTCAAGTCTCTAAAGGTAAAATTTGATATGCTAAAAGCTTACTTAGGCTATGAGATGCCAGTGTGTAGATTTGTAATTTATAAATTTGGCACCAATAGACATAGATATCTTGGTTAACTTCTATTTTTTTCTCAAATAAAACCTTCTTCTTTGATTACAGCTTTATTATAGCATGCTTTTTAGAAGTGATACTAGCATTTTTTATTATGGTAAAATATACATAATATATTTAATCACTTAAAAAATAAAATTCCACAGCATTACATTCACAATGTTGTATAACCATCACCATGATCTATTTCCAAAGCTTTTTCATTGTCCCAAACTGAAGCTCTGCACCCATGAAGTGTTAAATTCGCCACCCCTACCACCCCCGCCACCCCAGCACCAGCACCTGGTAACTTCTATTCTACTTTCTTTTAATATGAATTAGTAACCATCACATCATTTAAGTAGAATCACACAATATTTGCCCTTTTGAATCTGCCTTACTTCACTTACACTGTTTTCAATGTTATGCATTCATGCTATACTATGGATCGGAAGTTCATTCTCTTGTATGGCTGAATACTATTCCATTGTATGTATATACCAGCTTGCCTATCCATTCATCTGTTGATGGGCACTTGGAGTTACTTCCACCGTTTGGCTGCTGTGAATAATGCTGCTGTGGAACACTGGTGTACAAGTGTGATACTTGATTTTAATCCTTCTGGGTAAATAACAAGGAGTGGAATTGCTGGATCATATGTTAATTCTAAGTTTAATTTTTTGAGGAATTGCCAAACTGTTTTCTATATCAGCTGCACCATTTTCTATTCCTATCAGCAATGAGTAAGGTGGATTCTTTCTATTTTTTCACTGAGTTCCTGGGGTGCTCATCATGGCTCTGCAACTGATGCTCTAATCTTGGCTATTCTACCTGTCAGTGAAGCAGTCTCCTGTTCTATGAAATGATGTCTGCTCTGGTACAGATGGATACTGTGAGAATGAATATAATCATTTAACAAAGTTAATCTTAGGTCTAACAAGTGATTTATCTATTTTTCCTTTAAGGCTTATGCATAAAACTAATTTTAAATGATAAAATTTTATGTTGTATTTTCCAATTTATTTCTAAAAGGNGTAATCTTAGGTCTAACAAGTGATTTATCTATTGCTCCTTTAAGGCTTATGCATAAAACTAATTTTAAATGATAAAATTTTATGTTGTATTTTCCAATTTATTTCTAAAAGGAAAAATCCACAGTACCTTATAGGCCTGGATGAGCATGTGGATGACCCCAGGGGAACCGTGGCACCAGTGGACTAGCAGATCTCGAGTGTCGCCCACACAAGGAGGGTAATTGCCGGAGGGGAATTTCAGCTGGCAGACATACTCTACACTGGGCTTGACCAAACTGTGTAACTTTGCATGGCTCACCTGAAGGCTGGGCTAAAAATGAGAAAGGGAATTATTAGCTCTGCTGAAGGAAACAATCTTCCTGAGCCCCAGGAAAGAGTTTAAGCCATAAAGAAAACATGACCAAAAGGAATTGGAAGTCATTAAGAAATTTTGGATTCCATTCAATGATTTCACCTACTAGAACAAACTAAAACTAGGCTATCAGTTAACTCTTGGGCTTTATGTCCATATTATTTTTCAATATTTGTTATCCACATCCATGTACATCATTTCCCCAAGCCAATGCTTGGGAAGGTGAGTGTGAGGAGTTTTAACACCTACGCCTACATCAGCCCAGAATACTGTGCAAGCTGAGTTTAAATGCTGGTGTAGAAAGATTAGATTCTCCTCAACTTATAGCAATTGCCCCAAACGGCCAAAACATATTTTGCTTTACGCTGATACATAGACACCTCCTGGAATGAACTTTTATAGGATTGAAAATGAAAACATTTAAAATAGATGATAATCTTCCAATGGAAAAGTCAGGAGCTGGGTTTCTAGATTTCTTACGGAGGATAAGATGCTCCTGATGATCTACTTCAATGAAAGGTCATGTGACACGTGTGACTCTAACTCATCTTGATACTTCAGAAAACATGAACTCTCCTTTCCTGAAAACTTTTAAGAATCTATATTTATTTCGGGAAATAGAGAGCCAATGAGGGGATTTGTCAGAAAATAAAGGAATTTAAGTCTAAACTGTGGAAATCCCTAATTACAAAACTCTTAATTGAGAAGTATAAAATAAATACAATAGTTGGTCTCCTACTGCCACTAACCCTCAAAATGTGACTTTGCATTTAAAAGCAATAATAACCTTGAGTTTTCCAGCGTCGTCATTGTTTAGTTATGGGGAGAGGGAAGGTCTGACATTGATTTTGCATTATTATAGCCAGCTACTCAACCAGCTAGTGGTATGTATGTCTAAGCACTCATGTTGAACATATTAATGAAACACTTTTCTTTATGCCACATTGTACTTTAGGAAGGTGAGGGGGGACACCTTTGCTACCATTAAGAATCAATTTTCTTTTGCCATAAATTCTTATTCATAAGTGCCAATTTCTCTGTAAAGAGAGCTAAATAAGCCCCCAGAAAAGATGCTCCCATGAGAAGTCCTCTTCTGACCTCCCCCATCAGATTATGCTGGCTACAGTAAATTCTATTTGTCCTTAGTCTATGACTTTGGCTGATGTCCCAAAACAGTATTAGATCTAAAAAACTGTTGAGCATAGACTATTCAGCTATTTCTTGGGCAGGTTACACAAAATCCATTGGAAAGGCTCCTTAGCCTTGCTCTCTAAGTAAGCCTCAGGCAACATATGCTCATTCCTTTTCTACTGATTTTGTTCTTACTCCTGGAATTTGTTTCAGTGGGTTTTGCCCTATAACATGAAATAATATTAATTCAAGGCATTTGCCGAAAGAGAAGAGCAGAGCAGAGGCATTTCAAATAGAAGTATAGGTCAAAACACTTTAGTCTGGACAAGTGGAACTAGGCAAGTACGGTCATCCACAAATCAAACACCATCTCAAAGCACAGAGCCTTTTATATTTATACACTTGAAGTGTACCTCGGCAAGTATTACTCTTATTAGTCTAGGCCAGGTAATTACGAGGAGGGTGGGTGATGCAGTAATCAACAGAATAAAAAATGGAGCTGAAGCACCTGTCTTCTGACCCTAGACAGTAAAGCCAGGAAGCACATTTTAAAGTCTGACCATCTTCACCTCTTACCTGCATCAGGAAGTAATAAATTCCTGCCAGGCCATGAGCAGCCCCCACATAATATTCTTGGTACCACTCATACATCAGTGGAGTCTTTCCTGTGAAGTTTCTCTTTTTAGCTAGGTTTTCTCCAGATGTTAAGACTGTTTCACAAATCTGCAGGGAGAAAACCAACCAAAATAATGAGAGAATTAGAGTAAAAACCCTACTGGTGGAGGTAAGAATCTTTCTGAATGGATACTGGGAGACATGGCAAATCAGACACCATCTTAGGCCAGGGAAGGCACAGTTTAATTCAGCACTCGGAAAAGCAGATGTGACTATATTCTTTCTAATAAAGGGAGGGGATGGAAGATCTTGAACTCTTTTCACTGGAGCTTACAAGGATTCACTTGTCAAAGGAAAGCATAACTCCCTCAAGCACCAAGGGAGGCACCTGCACCTGGAAGGTGAAATCTGGCCCTCATCTTCTTCTCACACAGCCGGGCTTCTTACTGAGTCTCTCTCTCCAGTGTTTCCAACAGCACTCAGCATGAAGCTATTGGTTCTCTGATCATGCCTGACTTTCAGAGGTCAAGATACACCTTCCAGCTATTTGGGATGTGCTAGCTGGAGAAATAAAACCTATAGTTTAGGCAGACGGTAAGTGGAATCCTAAAAAGACTCCAAAAAGCATAAAAACATGGTACCTGATGAATATGGCTTTGAGGAATCTTTTCTACTCCAAAGTTCTTATTCACAAAGAGAAGAGCATAGATGTAGCCCACTCGTCCATACAGCAATTCATTTGGAGCATGGGGATCAACCTTATTTAGGTGAATTAGCCTGGGAAGAAAAATACATGCTTAAGATAATTTGAAATGAATTAGGTAGAGGTATATACTAGAAAGTGGTACATTTAAAACACACACAGATATATATAGTATTTTAAATTATTGTATTTTAAAAATATTTTTAATATATAATTATAATTAGTATAATATATATGTCATTGTACATTAAATATTAAGTGTACTAGGCCAGAGCGCAAATGATAGTCAGGATTCAAAGACTAACCCTTAACTAAATTCTTCAGTTCACAATGGAACTGTCAAACAAGATACTCACAGAATGAAAGAATGCATGAGCATGGCTGAGGTTTCCTGGAGCCTCCGTAGTTCCTCACTGGAACTACTAGGACTAGCAGCTGGGGTCAGAGAGGCTAAGAACTGCTGGCTATTATGGAATTTAGCCTGGAGAAGGAACTAAGTCAACACTCAAAGGGCCATCTCTTTCTATAAAATGAAATGCAGGCTGCACCCATTATCGTCATCAGGCCTACCTGAAGTGTCTGCATGGCAGCTGATCTACTGCAATCGATAATACATGCAAATAGCACATAGGTACCAGTGAGTGTTCCTGTCCCCCTAGTCTTCCAGCTTCCAGTCCTTCTTTCAGAAAAACCATTTCTTGTATATTCCTAGAATTACTTTATGCACATACAAGCATAAATATACATATTTATAAACGTATCTCCCCAAATGGTCTGTGGCCTACTCTTCAACAATACATCATGACAACCATTCTATAGCGGTACATACAGATAGTCTCCTTTTTCAGCGGTGTTTAGTGTTCCATTGAATGGGTGCATTATAATTTATTAGTTCCCTATTGATAGACTCGGTTCAGCTTCTTTAAAAAAGTTATTTTGAGCTCTGGTTTCAGGTGAGATGGAGTAAGCATACTGCACCTTACCGCTCCCTCTAAATGCAGCTCCCAGACCAGGGGAACACGTATGAAGCAGCTATTTGAGGACTCTGAGAAGTAAGTAAGAGCGGGTGGAATGGGGAAGAAGATGAGAATTTGATGTACCTCCAAACTAGTGATGGGTTTACCATATCTCCCCCCCACCCCATATTCCCCTGGCCAGAGCTCAGGACAGCTCAAAACCTGGAAGTGGGCACCACGGGGCTGGAAGAGAGTGCAGAAGGGGCCCTGCAGTTCTGTTAGGAAGAAAGGGAGAGGGAACACCTAATATCAGAGATAGTGTTCTTTATTTTCTTTTTTCTATCCTCTGTTCTCTCATGCCTCAGGCCACCTGCCATCGCATGGTGGCAGCTGAACTGAAGTCAACAGGAGCCCACGGGAGCCCAAACCATGAGGGTGGGGCCCTGCCTCGCAGATCAGAGGAGCTGCGGGTCCAGGAGGGGGGAGCCTCCACTGCTTCGCTTGTCTTCCCAGCTTCCCCATCACGGGGCCCCAGATGCAGGCATAGTTGTGGGAAGTAACCAAAGCCCCAGGTTTCTTTCCAGAGGACCAAAAAGGGAAGCCCCAGGTGCCCAGGAATTAGGCAGTGGTCACAGAGGGAGATGAGCTCAGCAAAGCGACCATATTTATAGTCTCATCTCTGAAAATAAAAACAATTTTTCTCCTTTTTTGGGGGAAGGGAAAACAAATATGATAGGTAGGGAAAATTTCCTTGCCTTTTTAGATTTTTGATCACATGAAAATTTGAAAGCACATCTGTTATCTCTAAATTATCCTAAAATGAAACATTACACCATTTAAGTTATTAAAACAACTTAATTCTTTTGTGAAACTTGACAAAATGATATTAGTACACAGAAAAAGGAAAAGGGAAGAGCCCTAGATTTTCTACAAAAGAGCAATCATGAGAGAACATTAGCCCTATTAAATAATGGCTCTGTCATCAGGCAGCTTCTGACACAAAACCTGCATTAAACTTGCAATGTAATCCCTGTACTTGAAATTTCTCATCTGTAAATTGAACGGTTCCTTCCAATTAAAAACTTCTCTTAAGTTGTCTGTGTGGAAATATATTTTTAAAGTAGTTAAGTATAAACAGTGCCTGTGCATGTACCTCATCTAACTTTAGTCTATAACTAGGAATGGTTAATTAACCTTTGAAGCATCAAAAATCACACCCCTGGGGTGATTGTTTATATTTGAAGTGTTGCAATCAGTATCATACACAGACACTTCTAATATTTTTAAAAACTTAAAAACATTTAAGAGAAATTCTTTTTTTTAATGTCCAAATGGCAGCTTAGTAATATTGAGACCTTAAGAAAATAAAATCTGTTTACTAGATATGAACTCGCCTGTTGTAGTAAACAGTCTTGATAAGAATTTATTATCAAGTTTTAATGTAAATGTATCAAATTGTATTGAGTTTAGATATAATAAAGCACTTTTGATTTACTTTTGCAAAGGAGATTAAAAAAACTATTCAAAAGAGAAATTACCATGAATTTTTAAGCAAACATAGGTCTATGGAAGTTACTCAGAACAATTACTGCATTAACTCCAATGATGTTTTCATCTAAAATAAAATGTTTGAGCTACCATGTTAGAAAACACCTTTCCTTTATTTACCACTGTTGACCTGCATTACCACTAGGTGGCAATATATAATTAGCATTCCAACTATTTTGCAGCCAAACTTATTTGCATTTGGGAAGTTCAAAGTAGGTAGCAAATACCTTTCAAATATTTGAAAATAAAGTACTGCTCAGACCTTCTCCTTAAAACAACACAGCATTCTGTTTTTTTCTGTATTTGAATTCAGGTCATTAAAACTCATTAGTTGTATCTGATGATTATTAAAGGTATGACTTTTAGCTGCATATTTTACATGCCATATTCTTAAGATAAAAAAAAGAAATGACAGCATTTATAAGTGATAAAGGTTATTTTAAGTGTTTTCAGAAACTCTGAAACCCAGAAGCCTGTCGCTGCAGCTCCATTTTTTAATATGTTGATATTAGTAGCAACCGATCTGAAGGAAGAGTAAAGACATAAAGACAGGATAGCTATGTTCCCCTCCTAGCAATACTTCCCCAGGGCATTATTGGGGGAGAGCTTTTTGCTCTTTAAAAAAAGAAGTCCTTTTCTTACTCACACTGCAAAAGGGAGAGGGTATATATTTTCTGACCAGGAAACCAAAGTTCTTTATCACTCTAAGTACTGGCTCTCGTCAGGTTAGTCTCTTAATTGGGTACCAAACAGGCAGGGCTCCCTATTTGTGCAGTGGCACCACTGTCCCTATGTAAAAGGAAGGGTGAAAATGGACACCTATAAAAAAAACCAGGCACCAGGAAAAACTAGTGTTATTTACCACCCTACCCTCAAGCCAACTGCAGGACATTATGCACACACACATACACACACAATCCTTCTGGGGAGTCACAGATCCTCCAAGAAAAGTGTAAAATGCTCTCTCTCTTCTTGCTGAATGCAATTTGGAGGTTTTCTATACATCTGGAAGCCCTAGAATTCTCAGGGCCCCAAAGTTAAGAACCTTTATCTTAGAGAAACACTGATTTCTTTGTATTTCAGTTGCTTTGTCTAAGGATTAGACTTTTGATGATCCCAAAGACCCTTTGGTTTCTAAAACTCAAAATGATGAGTCTGAAAGAGCACTATATTAAGAAAACATAGGAAAGGTAAGCTGAAAGAGTATGGTGGCATTGTAGCACACTGCAGATGCCACACGGAGAATCTGTCTGTGGTATCTCAAAAGGGCTGCAGAAGGGCTGTGTGACAGGAGAAAAATTTCAGTAAAAAGTAAAACTGATAATTAGGTTTATTAAATAACTGATGACATCAATTAATTTTGGATTTCCTGAAACTGAATTGAAAAGACATAGATTTTTCCTTAAAAGAGAGGAGATATGAAACTAATTTACAAATATATATTTTTCTTTTTCTTCTGCCACGAAATCCAGAAATATGAAAAATCAAAGCTGTGGCCACAAACAATGTATTTTCCTATCATAAGCTCACTGTCTATATTTTTAACCTTAACTAGTCTACTGGCTGTAAAAAAATGTTAAAATGTCATAACATTTAAAAAAATGACATAAATTACCAAAACACCTTTATTACCAAGGTATAAAATTTTTTTTAGCTTACTCTTAAGAGTGTTTTATAATAAACCAATATTCACATATGGTACTATTCCCCAAAGAGTATTTCTTAGAAGAATAGGCCCTAAGATGTCATGAGGAAAAAGGGTTGTCTAAATGATAAGTCTGGCAAATTCTGTTCCTAGAGTAGGTGGTTTCTCTTCAGACTCTGAGCAGTCAAAAAAGTTACATATTTAACTTTGTTTAGTGTTTTCCCAATCTGTTTAATTACACAACTGTTGTATTTAACAAATATTAACACCTATTAACATTTTTCACATAGCAAACTATTACTATTTGGCTGCACATATATGAGAAAGGCTGGCATTATATATATAAAATATGGGGAACACTACAATTTATTTATATGATACTTAAGAGTGAGTCATTCGATGAGACTTTCTTGTGGACCTCTAAAGCAGATGTGTGGCTAATGGCTTTAAACTGGCTGTACAAAAAAGTAAAAAGGTAGTTTCTGTATTGAAAATTTCGATGGGTATGGAACAGCTTTTGTATTGGTTGGTCTTATGCAAGTTAATTACTATGGAAGGAATACATGTTAATTAAACTTTTGAGGAAATCAGTTTTGATTCACTTGCCATTTTGATCAAGCTTAGTGACAGGTTTTATATTAAATACTTCCCAGCCCTGGAGTGGAATGTTCATAGTTCTTTCCTCTAAATACACTAGTACTACATTTTTTGTTTTTAAGTTGCACTAGATAATCTCTAACCTCTGATAGATGTACCATAGACATGTATTAAAAAGAGGTATTCAGAGGTATATATCAATTCAGGGAATGCTCTCATATGATTCACAGATCATTAGAAGTAGAGCACAAGACTCCTTGGACTCAAACGGGCAAAAGACCTTAACAGGCACCCCATTCAAGAAGATATACAGATGGCAAATAAGTATATGAAAAGATGCTCCCTATCACATGTTAGAGGGAAATGCAAATTAAAACAAAGAGGTATGACAGCATACCTATTAGAACAACCAAGATTCCAGAAGACTGACAACACCAAATGCTGGCAAGGATGTGGAGCAACAGGAACTCTCATTTGTTGCTGGTGAGAATGCAAAATGGCACAGCAACTTTGCAAGACAGTTTGGCAGTTTCTTAGAAAACTGAACATATTCTTAGCATACAATCCAGCAATCATACTCCTTGGTATTTACTGAAAGGAGTGCGAAACTTATGTCCACATAAAAACTTGCACATGGATGTTTATAGCAGCTTATAATTGCCAAAACTTGAAAGCAACCAAGATGTCCTTCAGTAGGTGAATGGATAAATAAACTGGTACACAAAGGACTATTATTCAGGGCTAAAAAGAAATGAGCTATCAAGTCATGAAAAGACGAGGAACCTTAACGTATACTACTAAGTGAAAGAAGCCTATCTGAAAAGGCTACATATTATATGATTCCAATGACATGATATTCTGGAAAAGGCAAAACTATAGAGAGAGTAGAAAGATCAGTGGTTGCCAGGGATTGGTTAGGAGGAAGGAAGAGGAATGAATGGGCAGAGCAGAGGATTAAGGCAGTGAAACTACTTTGAATGATACTACGATGATGGAAACATGTCATTACACATTTGTCCAACCCATAGAATGTACACCACCAAGAGTGAACCATAATGTAGACTATGGACTTCAGTGAGTACGACGTGTCTGTCAGTGTAGGTTCATCGATTATAACTAGTGTACCACTCTGGTGGGGGATGTTGATAATGGGGAAGGCTGTGCATGTGTGAGGAAACGCGGCGTATGGGGAACCTATATACTTTTCTCTCCATTTTGCTGTGAATTGAAGACCATTCTAAAAAGTGAAGTCTATTAAACAACTAAACAAAACAACAAAACCTTTGCTGGAAATGTAACCCTCTGTATGTCAGCACGCTCAGTGGAAACCTAACATGCATGCAGAGGTGCACGGCAGCCAGGTTTCTTAGCAGAATTCTGAGTGTTCATTAAACTCTAGCAAGGCAATACTTGTAATTTATTAGTACAAAAGTTTGGTAATTTTTCATAATTGACAAGCTTCTAGTGGGTTGCCTGATTTATATTAAAAATAAAAAGCTGGATCTGCATATCATTTGTCCTTAAAAAAGCCTAAGTTTTGCATAAGTTTGTATATCCTTAGGGGGCCTCTCTCAACCCACCACAGGAAGTGAACTGCATTTTTTCAAAGTATTGATCTTGGCTAGCACCTTGGATTAGTAATCATATCATTAGGCTTTTGACCTCATTTTTGTTACTGAAACTGATGTCTGATCTGGAACACGCCAGTGTCATTATATCCTGCAATAAAATAGGCATTGTAATGGTTGTTCCTAAACTACAACATAGGGATAATGTGAGAACTGACCAAGTGACAGCACTAAGATTTATAGCTGAGAGGAAAGGAAATTCACTGACGTGTTCTTGTGCTAACACGCACAGAACTAACGCATAACAACAGGTAGGTGAAAATGCGCAGAAAGAAACCTGGTTACCGGGTGATGCAATCCTCTGCCTGCTTCTCATTGTGCATCTTGCTGTGCACCACGGCGGCCACCGCCAGCGGGCCCGCATCCCCACAAAGGAAGGTGATGGACCGCTTGGACAAGGAGCTCAGGCCTCGCTTCACATAGTCATGGGCCAGCTGCAGGTAGGCAGGGTCTCCGAACACATTATAGAGATGTAAGTAAAGCACAGCAATACCTGCACGGCGGAAGGAAGATAATGGAAAAGTGAGAAAAGGGCAGCTGACTGAGTATTTTGGCGTGCTGCCTGCTCAGCAGTGTTGATTTTTGATAAGCCATAATAAATATATAAACCCTCTGGTTGTTCAGATGGCTAGTTCTACACTCAGCTTTATTACCCAACAGCTCTAAGAACCAGACACAGGCAAACACTTTACTGGTTCTAAGTTTCCTCATCACTAGAACGCTAACTAATAGGAACTCTAAGGCCCTCTAAGAACTTTAAATCCAAGTTTATTATTAAACTGTTGCACTCTAGCTATTGTGTTAACATATTCTTCTTGATGGTTAAATGATAGGTCATTCTAAAAAAGCAGTCATTTATTTATTTAACTCATAATTTACTTAATAATAAACAAGAAGTGTTTGTTCCTGTGAGCTAAAGAAATTCAAAGGCTAGGGAATGAAAATTCCATTTCTCTTATACAGATTTTTTTTTTGCATGAGAAGGTTGGTAGAGTAACCAAATTCCCTACTCCAGGATCATTCCAGGCTGGGATTATAAGGAAGCTATTAAGTTATTTGAGAAATAAATGCAATTCCTCATTTTTCCCGTTGAGAACGCAGCTTCTTTAGGAACCGCACTGTAAAAGCTGCCAATGACTTGGGCTTGGGGCCTCCACTGGCTTCTTATCCTACCCCTGAAGCCTGCTCGTTGTAAGGGAGCTGCTGTCTGCATGTCCCTATTCCAAACACCTGTCACAGTAGGTAGCGCCTCCCTGAGGCCGCCTGGTCTCAGGACAGACTCAAAGACGTGGCATAGGGAGCCAATCTGCAGCATGTCCAGAAACTCATTTTTCTCCTTAAAGTACATTTTCCATCTCATTTACCATTTTTAAAAGACACAGAGCCTCTGTTTAAATCTAAATTAATAGAGCCAATCTCTTTGTGAATTCCAATGCAGTAAAAATGCAGTCTGCAAAATTACTTTTCACTGTACTGAGGACAATTTTAAATTTAGATAGTTTTCTCATTTTGCACGGGTAATCTCCAAAGCTTTGTGCTACAGACAATTCAATTTCACATGTATATTAAGGCCAAATTTTCATTTCCTGCCAAAGTTAATAATGTTTTCTGCTCTTTCAAAGTGGCTTGGTGTTAGTAATTCCACAAGCTGATGATCAGATGTACCAATGCTTAAGGTTGGTAGATGTAAGTGTGCAAAACCATGTGCGTGGGTAAGAAAAAAAATCTCCTTTTCACAAATGATCAATGTCAAGAGCTTCTTCTAGAATTAGGTTCTTAATAGGCTTCGTCTCATACACACCAGGCATCTGCAGGCCATCTGTTTAAATTGTTACCCTTGCATTCTGCCCTCCTATTCCCATCGCTGTCTGAACTCCCTTAATTAAGTTACGTAAGCACTAAAGCCAGATAATGACATGACTGAGATCTGAGAAAATAAAAAGTGATTAAAAACAAGCCCAGTGATTGCTTCCCTTTGCCTCTCATTATCAACAACTCCTCTTGGCCTAAATATTTAACAGACAAAACCCATGAAGTTTTGCAATGGTAAGGTTTGATGTATTTCTCATGAAAAAAGGGTAATCATTTCTCGAGTCACACAATATTTCATTTAGATAACATACTTGTTTTTTTCTTTCTGATCAACAGAGAATTATCTTGTAGCCTCTGGGATTTCACAACCTCGGGTTCTATTTCTCTCCTTCTCATTCTGGGCCTCAGTGTCTGCTTGTTTTGATTAAGCAGTCTCCTCCAGGTTGCAATTTACCATGTCTACCTTCCTGGTTACAAAACAGCCAAGCATGAAAAGGGGTTCAAGTGAGGGGTGGTGCGGCGACTTAAAAGAAAGTTCCTGAACAAGTGTATTATATATCAGTCTAGGTCAGAAAAATAAGACAAAATGCCTAAGTCAAAGACATTTAATGACTCATCAATATTTTATACCCCAGGTGCTCTAATTTAACTCTGGCCAGTCGCTCAGCTGGTTAGAGCATCATTTCAATAGACCAAGGTTGTGGGTCTGATCCCGGGTCAGGGCACATACAAGAAGCAACCAATAACTGCATAAATAAGTGCAACAACAAATCCATGTCTCTCTGTCTCTGTCTCTCCTCTCTCTCTCCAAAATCAATAAATTAAAAAGATTTTTAATTAAAACAATGGAGGAAATGTCTGTGGCTCAGTGTTTTGAATCTGATTCTCATGATCTTCCACCTCTGACAATACCCATGCATCTAACACCGCCTTTGCATAAATACCAAAGGCTGAGAGATAACTGGCAGGTAACTGTGGGAGATAAAGACTCAACCTCAAAGGTTCTGTAGGAAAAACCCATCCAGCCCTTCTATATACTCACAGCCCTGGCCTCAGCCTAGGCTTTAAGAAAACCTATTTTTTAATGTAATTTTTGTCAAAATAAATATGTTCTTTATGGAAGAAATTAAATAGTGCTGCAAGGCTTAGTATACATAGGCAGTCTGCTGACCCATTCTATTCCTGCCTCCCAGAGGCAACCATTGTAAATAATTTCCTCTAGTATCTGCCTCCATATTTCTAATAATAATGTGCTATCCCTGCATTTCTCTATCATTTTGATTCACAATCCATTATAAGTGACAAGGATTTAGCTCTTATGATAGAGGCTGCTAAGTGGTCCCCAAAAGGTATCTCCCTTTTTCCTGAAAATAATGCCCTCGATTTTAGCTAGGCACAGGGCTGCCCATAACAGTCTTCTTTGCAGCTGGGTATGGCTGTGTGACTAAGTGCTGACTGATGGGGCTAGTGGGAGTAATAAGGAAAACTTCAGAAGATATTCTTGAATGGTGGCAACTTGCCATTTCTTTCCTCCTGGCTGGAATACAGATGTGATGGTGTAGCTGAAGCAGCCACTTTAGACCATGAGGCAGCCGCTCTGTGACGAGGATGGTAAAGCCTCAAGATCAAAGAAGCTTAAGTCCTGAAGGACTGGGACGCTGTCCTGGACTGCCTATATACAAAAGAAAATTTCTATCGTGTCAAAGCCACTGTTATTTTAGGTGTGTCCCCACATACCGGTAAGCCTAATCCTAAAGAATACAGGAGAGTTAGGCAGAAGGTAGATCACATAGAGCCTTGTAAGCCAGTTCAGGATTTTGGGTTTTATTTGAAAAGCACCATTTTAAGCACTAGGAGAGCATAATAAGATTTGTGTTTTTAAAAGATCACTGTAAGGTTTGGAAAAAAGTGTGTGGAACAGTGGATGAAGGAGAAGCAGTTAGAAGGATGCTTCAGGAGTACAGGGGAGAGTCAGAGTAGTTGCAGTAGAGACAAAGTGAGACTATACTGGAAAGATGCCTGGAAGGTAAAATCAATGGAACCTGGTGGGGAATGGCTGAGAAGGAGATGTCAAGATGGCTCCAGATGGGCAGTGGTGCAGCCACCCAGATGGCAAACAGCTCTAGAAGAGGGACAGGCTTGGGAAGGAAGGCTGCAGAGAGGAGCCAAACCTGGGGCAGGCCAGGTTTGAGATATTCATTAGATATCCAAGCGGAGAGGCCAATAGGCAGCTGGATATATGATTCTGAGTTCAGGAATGAGAGGCTGGACAAACGCCCTCCAGATGTATGGGAAATGTGTTAACCCAAGTGGTCAATGATTCCCTCCTGCACTTCAGGGGCAGCTGGAGTAAGAAGACTCATTAATCCGATGCAATGGGAGTTGTGTTTGGCTGAAAAACATTTATTATTTTGATCTTACGTTCCTGGAGCCTGTTTGGTTGCTCAGATCTGTGGTGTTCAATATGCCAGCCTCTACATAAACTTAAGTTAATGAAAAGTGAACATTTAAAATTCTGTCTCAGCCACACTAACCACATTTCAAACGCTCCAGAGCCATGTGGCCAGTGGATGCCCTGTATCATTGTATCATTTCCATCACCACAGAAAGTTCTAAGGAAAGCACTGCTCCGAACGGGGAGGGGGTGTTATTCTGCATAAGTTCAGGAAGTCTGGCATTGCCTCAAGGCTCATCCTAGAAACCTCTTCTTTTGGAAATGTTGACAACTACTTGAAAAAAATACATATATATATATCCTGTGAAGACCAAATAAAACTTCTGTAACAGATATCTGTTCTGGCTTTCAGTATGGAAACTGAACTAGATTTTTCTATTGTTTCCTTCTGTAGCTACTACTCTGGGAAGGGAGGGTAAACCGCTTAGGGACACTTCTAAATCTGCAATTTCCTTACACAGCTACTTACCCAGTAGTACCATAAATACAGCCAGCTGTTGAGAAGTAATTCATACCAAGTCTTTGAATTTCTGAGGGATCGTTATTCCTATTCATCTTGACCAATCAAGACCCAGTGTGCCTCTAGTGTATATGGAGGTGATAAAAATCTCATAGGTGTACAAGCCTCTCAAAACACTTCTCTGTAATCCGCATTTCAGAGGTTACTCTTTAACTAATTTATTTACAATCAGTCCAGACTGCTGTACAAATCTTTGCCATGGTCCTTCAGCTCTGTAAGCTATTTCCTTACAGGGCAGAGGCTCTCTTCATGGACTCTAGGAAGAAAAATCATGTTCAGACTACAGATATCGCTGGAGTCACTAGAGGTGCTCAGCTAACACCCAAGAATGGGTCACAAGACTCTGAGTGATATGAAGACACAAACTCCCTGAAGGAGGGGTAATGGGTTGTTGTAAGTTTCAAATAATCTGTTCACCAGCTGAAGCTTTAAATGTTCATTAATTTCCATGTTTTTATTTCTTTTCACACTTATGAAAATATAAGTGAAATGTCCTCTGATTAACACCACAGTATGACCATCCGTCCTTCTATGTCAGGTTAGTACTTTATAATGCATTATTTTATTAGTTTCTCAATTTTGTGAGTGTTTGAGAGAATGCATTTCCATTTATTCAACATAATTACAGTTGTCTTTAAGGCAGGATTCTCATGCCCGGTTGCTGTAGTTACTGTGCACAGCGCTCTGCACAAAGGCTGTGTGTGAACACTGCACTGGCTGGTGCATCGCTCAGTCCTCTGGCTGAGGCCGAGCACTGTGAGCAGCTGGCTGTCCAAATAGTCCCATACTTTTAATACAGGTAATCTGGGAGGAATCTAGCTGGGACTTCAATGCCTTGATTTAATAATATTGCTCCAAACAAAAAAGTGGAAGAGAAATTAAAGAGGGCAAATGAGCACTCTGAAGATGTGTCTTTTCTCCTGAAGCTATCTGCAGAGTTGACTGTCCAGTAGGAAGGGAGATTTAAAAAAAAAGAAGACATCACACATTTCTCCTCCTTCCCTCAGTGCCCTGTAGTGTACTGCTTGTAACTGTCAAACTAGAAAGTGCTCCCAGTCTTTTATTCAGACTGCCATGTGAGTGATGAATCCTTCAGCACAGCAGGCATTAAGAGCAGAAGCTCAGGGGCCCTAGCCAGGTAGCACAGGTGGTTGGAGTGTCATCTGGATACGCCAAGGCTGTGGGTTCAGTCCCTGGTCAGGGCACATACAAGCAGCAACCAATGAATGCATAAATAAGTGGGACAATAAATTGATGTTTCTCTCTCTCTTCCTTCCTCTCTCTCCCTCTCAAATCAATAAATGAATATTTTTTTTAAAAAGAGCATGAGCTCAGGAATCACTGTCTGACTCTGCCATTTACCAGCTGTGTGATCTTAATCTGTTTACTATACCTTTCTGTGCCCAAGCTTCATCTATAAAATGGAAATAGTAGCTACTCCATAGTTACCTCCATAGTTACTATGAATCATGTTAATCATTACAACAGTCCTCAGTGCAGAGTAACTACTCAGTAAATGCCCAACCCCAAATGCCCAATGTGAACCTCAATGTGTCGAATGAGTCACTTTGTCTCATCTGATTCCTGATCTAAAGGGACAGAAAGCACAGAGGGAAACCATACTCTCCCTTTTCCCATACCCTGCCTTTCTCCACCCTCACTGGCTCCTCTGACTGGGGAGGTGGGAAAATGTGTTATCTGGCCTCACTCCTCAACTTTCTGGAAATCTTCTCTGTTCTCAGGCTCCCTGCCATCTCCTCTCTGTTTCTTATGTGGTAATCCATACCTTGGGCTGTCCAGGTGCTCTCTCTGAGTCTGGGGAAGTAAGTTCAAATTAGGGGGCAAGGAGAAAGCCTATTTAATGTCCAGATCTGAACAATAAGCTCTTTACCTACCTTTACCAATTACAAAGCTCTAATTTCTGAGTTCATTTCTCAATTAGATCAGAGGTTGAAGGGAAAAAGATGTGATTAACATATGAAATTAGTTAATTCCCACCCTTGCCCCATTCCACCTAGTTTCAAGGTACTGTTTTTAGTTTACACAGATGGTAGCTAGAATAGTAATGGCAGGACACTCTCCATCCATCCATCCAACATATATTTATTAAGCATCAACTATGGGCCTAGCATTGTGTTAAGTGCTGAAGTTACTGGAATGAAAATGACAAGACACAGCCCCAGTCTCTTTGGTCTGTAAAAATCAAATTGCTTAGATATGTCTTTTCTTTCCTTCCTTCCATTTCTTCTAGTCAATCTAAAAACACTTATTCTGCTCTCCGTGCCTCACCCAAGCACATTGGTGGCATCTAACTGTTACAGTTGTTTCAGCCCTGTGTCGTAGCAATTTAAGGTAACCTATTGTACAATGACATAACACCATATAAAGTGCAGGCAGAAAGAAAGCAGGTGACCCTTTTGGTGCATTTATTTATCTACTGGTCACTGTGAAGGGCTCTAGTATACCTAGTGTAGATCCACGCCCTGGATTCCTTCTGCTTGTCCTACCAGCTCCCGCTGGGAGCTTCTCATGAAGGTGAAGGACACTGTTCAGAGCTCAAATTAGACACTGAAATGCTGGCTCTGATGAAGAGCTACTTAACAAGGAGGTCAAATTGCACAGAAAAGACACCTGGCCAGAGCGATTCCTTTCAAATAAGTTTGGTATCAGCAGAAACTAAGACCCATGTGCTAAAGCTGTAGCTCAAAGGCTATACATTTGGCAGATCAGAGGACCAGCGTCCTGAAACACTTTAATGACTTCCATTTAGAGCGCAAGTTAATATTACTCTAGGGATTATGCTGCATATCCTCTTATTTAAAATGTTATCTAATACTTGAAAAGAGGAACTATATGCTGATCTTAGCCTCATTAGCATTATGAGTTGGTTATAGAAGATTGGGTCATGTCTCTTAGAACTAAAGCCTCTAGAGTCCAGTGTGTATTTTTCCCCCTCAAAGTGTGAGTTGATTACCATTTCCCTTAGGAATCATCACAGTTAAGAGTGGAAAAATGAAATAAATGAAGGCTAGCACTTTCCCTCATTCTCTCTTAAAGATACTGTGAGATCAGCCTTTCCTTGGGTTTACTTAACCTTTTTACCATGTTACCTGAAAGGGAAGCAATCTTTTCTACTAAATACTTATTTCTAACACAAGAATATTTCATCTGCTCATTTAATCCTTTATAATAACAATTCCTTACCAATGTTTTGTGCTTTCCATTTTATAAGGAATTTTAAAATCTCCTCCTTGCTAGAACCTACAACCTACATGGAGCAAAACCCAGAGCGGCCTAATGCAAGTGGTGTTATGCTCTGTGATTCCCCACAGGTCCCTGGACACCACTTAGGACCACTCAGTAGCTGGCCATCAGGTTTGGCCTTCAGGGGCCTCCTTGCCTGCTATATTTCTGCCCTGTCTGCTGCTATGTGCACAAATATATAGAACAGTTCTCGATGGGGCACCTAGAGAACCTAAATGCTTCCCTTGCTTCCCAAACTAGGAGCACACTCTATCATGATGCATTACGCTTCAGCGTGCTCATTTTATAAAGGAGGCTTTCAGTGAAAAGAACCGAAACTGCTGATTTCAAATATCGCTTCTTAACAGCTGCAGGAGCTACCGATTGATTTCAGACTTGGGTGATATTTCACACACAAAGATCCTCAATAAGCTTTTTCAGATACAAGCAACTAGGAGGAAGAGCTTCTGTTTTGGCCCAGCTCATTTTCTATCCTAAAACCATGCTAGTATGTTAATTCAAGATTAGGAGAGGAACACCTTCTATAGGACAACACTGGAGATTTCATTTTTCTAGCAGCAAATCCCCATAAATCTTTCCAGGGTTTACTTCATGTCCAATCCCAAATAACGGTCTCCTACAGACTTAAATAGTAAGTACTCTTGCTTGTCTAACAAGCTGCTTCCCTCTTTCTTTCCAAATTCATGTTTTATCAAGGCTTATGTTTTTCTAAAACACTTAAAACTGACTAGTCATTAGTCATTTCTAAACAGTTTGTACACATGAGTATCATCATGTTGTGATTGCTTAAATTACTCCATCTGAGAGTGTATGTGTAGAACTTATAAAATGTACGGTGTAAACCCAAATGTAGAAGTGGAGAGTAAACACACACACACACACTCATTCTCTCATTCTCTCTCTCTCTCTTTCTCTCTCTCGGTAAAGAACAGGTGCTCTAAAGCCAGGTTTGCTGGGTTGAATCCTAACTCTGTCACTTACTAGCTTTGTAACTGTGAACAAACACTCAGCCTTGCTTTGCTTTACTTTCTTCATCTGTGAAATGGGGCTATGAATAGTACCCACACCATGAAGTTCTTCTGAGATTTAAGTTAGCTAATTAACACAAAAGCACTTAGAACGGTGCCTGGCATGTAACGTTAGTTGCTGGCATACAGGCACATACCCTCTGGCTTCAGTCATTCAAATGTCAATCCTGGTAACATTTTATTAATATGAACCATGCTGTAATCTTTACTCTTGCCCTTCAGCAGTCAAATGATCACAAAGCTGCATATTGATGATCCTCATTTCCTCGGGAACCAAAATTTATTCATTATATTTTATTATTAAAGTATCAAATTCTTGTTTTTGAACATTAATGTATAGTAATCACTTATTAATGCTCAATTACTGCATTGTACTTGTTCTGTTTTGTTCAACTCCTCATAATTTTAAATAAAGAATAGTGTTTATTAATGAGGTTAATCTACCAATTACAACATACCTGGAACACAGCCGATAATAAACGACAACTCTTATAACTTCCATTTTGAAGCAAATACTTTCATTTTATTCTCATCCTAACGTTCCTGTGTTAAGCTTCAAAATCCACAAAAGTCATAAAATTCATAAACTAAACCCTAAGAGGGATGGCCCACGCATTCCTTTTATTTTATAAAATGCTGACTTACATGTCCCTGAAAGGTTACATGTATATATGGCATATGAGTAACTGGGAAACAATGGGTCTCTAATTGTGCTTTCTTCAAGATTATAAAATGGTCTTTCTGTTTCTCCACATTAGTGAACTAACTGCAGCTCTTCAACTTTACTGCTTTGGTTTCCCGCCTACCTTTTTGATACCTGTGTACTATCCCTTCCCAAATTTTCTCCAACCTCTCAGTAACAGGCAAAACAATGAATGCAACCAACCAGCAATGACTACATGGAAGGATGAGTCCATGGGATCTATATTTTATCCTGTGTTCTCTATGGCTCCCTGTTACGTGGCAGTTTTTATAAAAAACGCTTCTGGGCATGTTTTATTTCCTGTGGATACATTCTCCTTACCTCTATATCACACACTGTATTGCGGGACTTTCCGCACTGAAAGTTCATCTCCAAATTAACTATGTAACGCTGAACATCAACTTTTCTCCTCCAAGGAGAGCAGCCGTCTAAATCTGTGGCAGGCATGAATTCCATGAAATGCTCACCCTACCCTAAGTTCAGAGCACTGTGAAGAATCCAGAAGATACCAAGGCCAGGCTGAGAGCACAGCAATCACACATATGCAAACACAGGAAGCATTTAGGGGGCTGAGTCAGACTGCTCTAGAAAGGGAATGCTTTGGCTCCTTCTGCAATGTGTACGCCAACTCACAGTCAGTACTTTATACCTGTCCAGCCAGTGTAAGCGGTGCCATCCCGAGGGTCTGCTGACTTCAGGCCTTTCTCCATTTGCTGCAGAAGCTCTCGAATCTTATTGTTCAAGCGTTGTGAGAACTCAGGAGTCAGCTGTAGATAGTAAGAGGAAAACAAACATCAAAATATATGGGCCACTTGACTTCTTGGACTACAGGCTATCAAAAATAGGAGGGCTATCAAAAAATGTTGCCACACAGGCCACATTTTTCTGCCTGGAAGAACTGGACAATTGCAGCAGGTCCTCAAATAATGTCACTGTTCAGTGTTGTTTCGTTATAACATTTGATGAGGGGGAAAAATCGATTCCTGTGGGGTCCACTGTCTGTCTGGAGTTTGCATGTTCTCCCCATGTCTGTGTTTTCTCTGGAAACTCCCGTTTCCTCCCACATCCCAAAGATGTGCACGTGAAGGAACTGGCATCTAAATTGTCCCCGTCTGAGTGTGGGTATATGAGAGTGCAGCCTGGGATGGAAGGGTGTCCCGTCCAGGGTGGGCTCCTGCTCTGTGCCCCGCGCTGCGAGAATAGGCTCTCACTACCCCAACCGTGAACCTGATTAAGCGGGCTGGAGAAACATCAGGTTTTTCTTAATCTTTCTTAAATGTATGTGTAGCTCAAATTTATTTCAGTGTTTAATATTAGAAGTGTTTTGGGTCTTTATTTAGAAGNGTTTTTCTTAATCTTTCTTAAATGTATGTGTAGCTCACATTTATTTCAGTGTTTAATATTAGAAGTGTTTTGGGTCTTTATTTAGAAGTTTGGTGATTTTTTGTGACCAGATATATGCCGTAGGAACTTAACCCTTGTTTATATCCATTAGCCTGGGGTAAAATTGGTTTCATTATCCACTGATTCCCTTAAAATCTCAGTTAGGACTTACTGTATTTTATTCTTAAACAACAACAACAAAGTAACAAAACTTAAAGTACTACTACTCAAGGCAGGAAATATAGTTGCCCCTTGAATAACACAGGTTTGAACTGCGCAGGTCCACCTTTACGTGGATTTTCTCACTTGACTGTGCAGCTCAAACCTGTGTTCAAGGGTCAACTCTGTGGTTGGGAATCGAGTATGCAGAGGGCCTACTGTAGTTATACCCGGATTTTCTGGAGGACAGCATCCCTAACCCCCTGCACTGTTCAAGGGTCAACTGTATTTTTCTTGTAACTTCAGTGTTTTACAGAAAAGCTTTAATTAAATACTAAAATAGACTACCAGTGATCAACTGGTTCACAGTAATTTTCACCTAGTAGAGATTGTCTATTATTTAAACTAATACTTTTTATTACAATAAACATCAGTTTATTAAATTAACCACAAATCAGAAGATGTTCGCTGTTTTCAAGTCACTAGATTTTTAGTATTTAAGCTGCACCAATGTTAATGAAACACTCAAATTGGTTTTGTATTTTAAAAATGAGGATAAACATTTATAAAAATCCATTTATAAAACATAAACATCTTCTAAAAACTGTAGATGTAGTATAAGAAAAGCAAAATAAATTCACAGCTATCAGGAGCCTTAAGCAGAGTGGAAAGAACATGAAACCTAGCATTAAAAAACCTATGCCCAGCACAGCACCTGACAGAGTGGGGGCTTCATAAATATTGCTCAGGGAATGAACCTGGCTATGTCCTTACTGCTATTAGATGAGTGACCTTACTCAACTTGTAATGTTTTTACACTTCAGTTACCTCTGTAAAGTCAGGAGAATACCTGTCCCACCAATCTGCACAGGCACTTTGCAGATCAAATTTGATCGTATGTCTCAGGTCTTCTGCATTCAGGGATGTAATTTTTGACATTTTTACTATGATAAGCAGTCCGGGGTCTATAATAAGTGATAATTTGGATGTGGACTGAAAGCACACTAAGGCTGGGGCTTCGGGGTTAGTATCGTCCATATGAAGGCCCACAGATGCATAATGACAAAAAACAGTCATTATGTTATGTGTCCTAAAGGCAATTGAGAAGTATTTAGAAAGCGCTGCATACACTGAATTGTGAAGTATCTTAAGAGGTCACTTTAATGTATCCCTCAATAATTTTAGGAATCTGCTGTGATTCTCAGATTCTGATAAGGCAAATCAGACTATCAACCACAGCTAGATTATTTATTCTGTAGCCCCTCTAATGATCCCTTATTTTACACTCTGAAGAACAACTGCATTGTTTGAAGGACATACTCCCATTATTTAACAATTTCTGACAAGAAGTTAAGATTTCAACAAGTCTTGAAAATACATTTAGTACGTTAAAATATACTTCAGTATTAACATAAAAGATCTATAAATCTCAGCTAGACAGAAGAATGCAACTACATGAGAACATGTCATCTTCTCATTGGTCATGGATAATTTATCATCTTGCTTGGCCTTACTTTAAGAGACCAAGAATAATGAGAATGCCTCAGCCTCAATAAAGGAAGTTACTTTCTATTTGGCACATAACTACACTTAATGAAGGTGGCCTGCCTAAGAATACTGATTGCTTACAGCAGACCACAAAATTATTCAAATTCTCGCAATATCTAAAGAGTCTCTAAAAGCCCCCCTGCCCCATTTTTTGGACAGATGCCAGAAAGCAGACCAACTCCTTATCAAAATGTGTGATAACAAATTAAGAAGGCCAGATCTCTAGGGTCTCATTCTTGGTGTTCAAGGTTGAACAATTTTAGAACTTGTATGCCAGTTTCTGTCAGGGATCTGTCCAAAAACCATGTGTGTTAAGCAGTAAATTACATAGTTATTTTGGGGCTGGAGTTTAAACTTACATCTTTTTTTCTCCCTTAGAAATACAGTTAACTTTTTGAAAAAGCATTTCACTTATAAATAGCCTAAATAGTGAGCTACATTATCCAGAAGGCTTGTGTCATTAGGATGTATCAAGCGTTCTCTTTGCCAAGTTATCATGAAACAGCATGTCTTCCTCCAACAAGACAAGACAAGTGCTTCAGCTTCAGGATCTGCAGAGCTAGGCAGAATGCAGGTCCAAATGGCCAAAAGGAAGCCACGTACCTCAAGATGATTATAAGAAGCTTTGTTTGGGCAGCTCAATTTTGGTCTTAAAAGAATCAGACTGACTCTAGCTCCATATACACTCTAGTACCCTTCTATCCTACAACTCCTCTCCACCTGACATCCCTCCTGCCCGCATTGCTGACCCAAGTTAATCTATAGTGATGAGTGTTTTAATAACCAACAGAGCCACCTGAACTCGACAGATATGAAAAGCCTAAGGCCATTATATCACATATGAAGTGCTTTCATATGACTAAGTTTCGAAGAAATCAACCGGTGGCCCATGAGAAATGACAGCCTCTGGTAACTCACATCCAGGTTCTTTTTTGCATGGTACTTTGCGAGCTACAGACCAATTTAATTTACTAGTATTTTTCAGCTGTGCGGATGTCCTGCAAAAAGGTGGAAATGGTACAAAGAATGTCAGGCCCCTGCGCCACACTTCTCTTAGCACTTTCAGCTTGAAGATGTCTTTACCACCAGTTCCAGTGTCGCCATCACTCTGCCTGTACTCCTGTACAATCAAAAAGCAGTTAGCGGGGGCGCATGTCAGATGCTGTCAGGATTTTCACCTTTCTTTAGAAAGCAAGTGAAAAAGACCAAAAATGCCTAACAACACGGTAAACTGCATATCCGCCTATTTTTATCGTTTAAAATATCAATGAGGTTATTTCAATGATATTAACAATGATTCCTTATAGATATTCCACATGTTAGGGCTCAAACTGCGTATTTTAACATGCACTTAATATATTTTATATAGTTATGATCGAATTATATTGTTTTGTTTTTAAAAGGCGTGCTCATCCCTTTCAGACAAAATTGGGCTCCTTTCCAAACACTGGGGGTTGGAGGGACTCAGGCAGGTGTACCCCAAACTCACCCTCCCTGCAGGATCAAAGTAGCCTTCGGCCAGGGATTTGTTATAATCGGCATAAGGATTCGGGAAGGCCCTTTGAGCCATGGTGCCGGATGCGAGCCTGCAGAACAGGGGAAAGAGAGAGCGCAGGTTGAGAGCGGGGCGCGGGCCCAGCGGCGCGGGCGGCGGC